CACAAAGGAATATCTATGCTTGGCATTTAGTATATTTATATGGGGAAACAAAGTCCTTTGCCGCTATTGCTTTTGGCATCACTGAACGTCACCGTTTTGCGAGCTAAACAACCGACTGGATTTCTGGCCAACTCCAAACTGAGTCGAGTGCATTGAGATCCTTGCGTTTTATACGAGTATGTTGTTAGTTTTTACATGCCGCACCGTCATGCCATTGATGCGGTTGTAACTGTGACTTTCGGCGGTTGTTGTTGCATTTGTTGCTGTTGCTGCTACCACTGCTGTTGGCGTTACACACTCACATTGCGTTTGTAAAATCTTTATTTATTTATATTTTTCCTTTGTTTACTGCTTGAAATACCATGCGCTCGCTTGAGCTTACAACAAAGTTTTGTTTTGTTTTGTTTTGTTTTTATGTGCAGTGGAAAGCATGCGAAGGAATTAAGCTTGTGAAAGCTTTTTTTTTGGGTTGCCAATGGCAACAAATATCGAGTGGCCTAAGGAAGAAAGTAAATGAAATTCTAATTAAGAATTAATGGTAATGATGGTAGTAATGGTAATGGTAATATTAATGGTATTGATGGCAGTAATGCTAACGATAATGGTAATGGTTATTGTATAGGTGATGGTAATGGTAACAGTAATGGTAATGGTAATGGTAATAGAAATGGTAGTGGCTATGGTAACGGTAGTGACGATAGTAGTAATTGTTGTGATAGTAATTGTCATGATATTGGTAATATGTAGTAATAGTAATGATATGTTATTTTAGTTGTAATGGTATTGGTAATGGTAATAGTAATGCTAGTAGTTGTGGTATTGGTATTGGTAATGGCTATGGTAACACCAAGTTTGTTTGGAAGCGNGTAATGGTAATAGTAATGCTAGTAGTTGTGGTATTGGTATTGGTAATGGCAATGGTACAACCAACAGTGGCAACTGTGCTCACATTATATTACTATGCGAAAGCTAATGTAACTTAATCTTATTCTAAATAACTTCCATTGCGTATTAAAAGCTTTATTAAGCTTTTTAGTACAATTATAACGTAGTACGACTTCAAGTACACACTTTTGTTCTAAAAGGAGCGTTCAAAGCCCATTGCTCAAAGATAACTACTCACACACGCATCCTTTCACAGCCATGCAGGCATATACACACATGCACAATACCGTTGTATTAACATTTTTGGCGCGAAAATAAAATCAGCAGCACAAAGCATTTTACGTGGCTGCTTTGTTGTATAGCGGAAGGATAGCGCGTTCAGATGCCGCACGATAAAATGGTAGACACATTCACGTGCATAGACAATTTACGCGCCACACATGGGCGCGAATGTATCTATGTACCTGTATATACATATGTAAATACATACATAAATTTGAACACATATACATACTCATAGCGAATCCCTCATATTACAAAATAAAAGTGGCGTTTTCTTGACATTAATGGTGCTGAAGGAGTGATTTTCGTTGCTTTGCTACCTGATTGGCGCCTTTTCTTGGTTTTAGGTAATGACTACGTACAATATACATGCGTACATACATACATTCACTGTGTAATTTAACGTATTTATACAACATGCTTGGTCTCGATGAACGATGTTAGGGTACCACGTGATTTGGCATGCCCTTGAAATGCTTCAATCCATGTGATTAATGGCTTTTTGTACAAATTGTTTTAATGCCACTCCACTTCATTAGCAGAGTAGCAGAGAGAGCCAATTGTGGTGAGGTTTAATTGAGTGTGAACATCTGCATACGAGACAATGGAGAGGGCGGTTGCTCGCAAATATATTGTTCAAATACATATATACACTCAGACTCTGGATACTGCTCAAACTCTTGCTGCAACAAGATTTCACGCTAGATCGAGTATTTCGGGTGCACCTCTTGTGATAAAGTAATTAGGTTACCAAAGTCTTTTGATATTGAGGGTTATGGACTCAATAAGAATACAAAAGATCTTTCAAAATAACTAGCTTGACTCTATTCGCAGAGTAAGAGCTCGAGTGCAAACCTTGCCTTTCTTTTCTTAAAAATTTTGGTTTTCTCTAAGGTTAAAATTATTTTAGAGCACCACACATAATTCTTTGCTAAAAAGCAGTCTTTATTATGTATATTAGGGTGGTCCAAAAATGCATGTGAAAAAGTAAAGTCGGAATTTAAATGCTCTCACCCTCTAGCATTGTTCTGTACCGAAAAAACATGTACTCCTTTTTTTTTTTGTAAAATCAAAAAGTATTTAGAGGTCGCTCAAAGCGCTCAAAGTTTTCCATGTGTTTTATATGGGAAAAAACCAACTTTTCGTAGAAATAGTACAGAATTTTTGAAAATCCAAATTTTACGATCGGAAAACTCTGTTTATTTAAATCTTTTTTGATAGTAACTGTATTTCATAGGTCCGCAAAAAACCCCTGAAAATGGAATAGAAGGACTTATAAAAAATTATTAGCATTAAAAAAAAATTGTTAAATAAACAATTAGGTATTATTATTGGTTTTCCGGTCGAAAAATATTCATTTAAAGATTTTCTATACCATTTCTACGAAAAGTTGTTTTTTCCTATATAAAATAGATACATGGAAAGCTTTGCTTACTTTGAGTGACCTCTAAATAATTTTTGATTTCAAAATAAAAAATATGGGTATATTTTTTCGGTATAGAATAATCGTAGGGGGGTAGAGAATTAAAATTCCGACTTAACTTTTTTTTTTGTACCACCCTAATGTGCATACATACTATGTGCATAAAATTCGAATACAACCCGTCACAGTGTAATAGACAGTTGTCTAAGCGTCGAGTGGAAATACCAGGAACGTTGTTATTTTTGATAGCGATATAGTGGAAGCCTTTGTCTCGTCAGTTCCACACCCCACTCTAACCGCTGTTATCCACACATTTATATCAAAAGTTGTTATCAATTCGCAATGGCTCTTTGTTTGCTCTTTATAGTGGCATATGCAGTGTCTATAAAATACGTTTCTACCACGCTGCGCATAAAAAGTCCAGTAGTGGGAGCCATTCCCGCTTGTGCTTTTGGCCATACAACCCAACAACAAAACGAGCCGACAGGTGAATTTTATTTATGTTGCCTTAATGTATGTATGTATGCAACTACATAATTAAATACATTTTATATACAAATGTTGCTAAATACGCACGCAAAATACATATTCACCTAAGTACACATGGACGCGAATATTTCTGCAATACACAGTTATCATCACTTTCATTATCTTTATCTTTACTTTAGTTGTTATCGCACTTGTTATAGAAGCTCTGAGCCCATTGTTGTTGTTGTGTCAGCTGATAACGAAGGCGCAAGTGACTGTGAGTATAAAGTTTAAACGTTTTTTTTTGCCAGATATTAATGCTGCGCATACACATAGAAGGTAAGCGTGCTTGTTGTTTTTATAACAATTTAATTTTCATTATTGTAGTTGTGCTATTATTATCTCTTCTTTTTTTTAGTGTATGAAATTTTCATATACATACATATGTATGTACGAGTAACGCTTATTAAATGGTACTTTTTTGATCAATTCATTTAGCCATTCGCCTGTTGATTGCTGGTAGGCTATTGAGAAATTTAGTCGTCGAAGAGTTGTTTCGCTAAACGATTCGTTGGTAAATTGTTTCAGCTTCCGCCGAGTCGCGAGTGTGATTATTGTGGCTACGCATATTTACGTAGAACGTGTCAAATGAGATTACCTTCGTGCATGTAGTAGACACAAAAAAAAGAACAAATATCCATGGTAGTAGATAGAGATAGTGACGTATTGCGGCAATAATTATTTCTTTCATCTTACACTCGGTTCTTCGGTGTCATACCTGCCCGCCTTCAACCAATTGAGTTGAGTTAATTGTCGCAAACCAGTTGGAAGTGGCTAATTAATTGTCATCATTAAGAGCAGTGAAGTGAAGCGAAACGAAGTGTCGTTTTTGTTATGTGTAGTGAACCACAGACTAATTGCTTCAAATTAAATATACTCACAGGTCAATTAGTTAAAAAAGTTTCATTATTCAACTCTTGCAACAAACTTATTTAGACCATGGCTATGAATGGTAATGGTTATTCGCGTAACTCAAATAATACTTTGCCATCGAATGGTACGACGACTGTTCTTAAGTATGAAAAATCTTCGTGTCTTTTCTGCAACGAATGGTTCGACTCACAAACTTTTACCGTAAGCAATAATTGCTTATATGGCAATAAAAATCTATTAGTAATTAAGTTTTTTTATTTGAATATTATTTAAGAGAAAAAAAAAATATTGTTAATCGTATTTTTTATGAACACGTTGCTGAAATCCCGCGGGTTGTTGAATGACAAAGAATTTTGCATCGAAGTTAGGCATTAAAAAAATTCATTTTGAAGAATAAATAATTTTTTCCTCGAGGAACCTTAAGACCTTCAGAGACCTTAAGATATATGCATAAATAACTTTTTGACATAAAAATGCACCACATCCAGAAAAAAATATATCATAACGATCCAGAACTATTCTCGAAATTTTCCCGAAATAATCCCGTACTAGTTCATTTGTCCCCACAAGTAGCAGTAACAGATTTTTTTTAAGTTAAGCAAAGATGTTTACGAAAATACGTGCCACCGGCGGCAAAAAAAAATTATAAAAAATCAAAGGGATTTTGTAGTACATATGTAACTTCAAACCAGCACAAATTGCATAAAGTATAGAATGAACTACATTTGTACATAATTATAAACAATAAATTTTTAAGCGAACATCAAAACGCGACTTCAATTCTCATATAAAAATTTAGAAATATCGTTAATTTCCTCATGAGCCAAGGTTCGGATCTAAACCAAATTGGTTCCACCTCAGAAGTACAGCCTTTCCGTAAAAAAATTATTAAATAATTATAGAAATCGCTTAATGTGGTCCAAGGTTATGCGGTAACATACATAAAAAAATTTACAGACGAATTGATAACCTCCTCATTTTTTTTTAAGTCGGTTATAAACTAACGAAAACATTTTTTTATGCAGCTAGTATATGTTTTAGTCATTTTAGTTTTATTAAAGAAAAATCCTAGCAGACAAAAATCTAGCTAGTATAGCCAATAGTTTTATATTATAAAAGATTAACAAATTTTTATTCACTTTCATACGTATAATTTAATGTATTTATTTACACTAAATTTATGTTATTTTTTTAACATATGTAATTACTACATATAGCTCATTCATAACCATTTAATTATCTACACAAGTTAGATTTCGATTATCAATGAATTTTCTGCTTATCAATTAGCAATCACCTCAACAGGTCGTTCCTAGTCATTACCGATATTTATCATAGCGACTATTTGCGGCTCATTTCTGTAGCTTTTTAGTCATAATTGAGTGTCTAACGGTGGTTTGTTTTTTTTAATTAGTAAGTGTTACATATTTTAGTACATATTGAGAAATGGAACGGTTATAAGTAAGTGCGAAGTTTTCTGCGCCAATTTCAAGTTTAGAAAACATCGCAAGTAATTAAATTGTAAAAAAATGCAGGTGTTGTGTATTTAAATATTTATGTTATTTGTTAAAAAAACAAACGGATAGCAGCGTAAGTATCTATACATATGTACATACATATGTAGTTCATTAATTGGAAGAACATTCGAAAACTAATTTAATTGTGCATAATTGTGTTAAACATTCACAACGATATCTGTGATATTTGCATTCCTTGGGGCTTTACCCATTTCAAAATAGTTACCAAAAAAGTACTCATATAAGTACCTATACTCAGGAACTATTTATCATTTAAAAAATGTCGGAGAAATAATTAAATACAATCAGCCAAACTTCGTTAATTTGGCAGTTCGAGAAAAGTGTTTTTCTGTGAACGACCCTTTTAACTATTTTTGTTAGACTGGTAAACAGTGTTTCATAACAACTACTTTTAATCTTCTGGGAGAAATTAGAAGATGAAAGAACAATCGATTTATTTTAGAGAACTACTTACTCACAAAAAGAGCTTTATAAAGGGAAATAAAAACTCTTACTGAAGGAAATAAGTAGATTATTCACGGTGTTAATTTGTCTATTTTCTACTACTTTTTTTTCGTTGTCGGAAAATCCTTAGTATATGTTACAGAACAAACCTTATCAGCCGTGGTCCCAGTTTCACATTTCAAAAATTTCTTGTAAAAGTGAATTCGTGTGTTCTCAATTTCACAAACGAGAATTCCCCACTTACAGCTGTTATATGTATGTAGGTTCAAAAATAATAGTTGATATCTGGTTAAATTCACCAGCTGCCTGGCCATTTTCAATGTCCATAGATAGAAAAGCAGCGCGATACATTGAAATGGAATGTTAATTTATCTTTTTAAGAAAAATTTAAGTTTTAAATCATGTTTTACTAGGATGGCGTCCCAAAAAAACCAAAAAAAAAGTGCAAAGTCCAATGAGTCGTTTTTTAAAAAGAAATTGCTTCTTTTTTATGTACGTATTTCATTTGTTATAAATAAATTTTTATTTTGTACAAAGAGAAAGCATTTGAGATCAAAAACAATTATTTTATAATTTATTTCATACAAATTAATTAATTGATAAAAGTCATCTTTAATATAACACTGTTCAACAGCATTTTTGCAGAGTAACAATGGTATATTTCTAAGAGAAGTAATCATGTTGAAAATTTTTAGAGTAAAAAGTTGCTAAGTCCATTTGTAGAAAATTTACAAGCGAGGAACAAAACTTTTCAAAACATTTCCTTCAAGAATTTTGCAGAAGGTTCCGTTACTTTCTTCTGATACCTACTCCAGTACTCGGTTCAAAAGTATCGATACCAAAATTACTTGGTATCGGACGAAAAGTATCGAGTATGTACTTGTATTTACTAGTAACGTTTTGTGCCTAAATGTTGCTGTTAAATGAAAGTGTAGTTCAGAGACAATGCTGGTATCCTCAACTTCATTAGCCGACTGCAAACTGCACTCTGAGATGCTATACCGATTTTTTAATAAATTAGAAGATTTTGAAAATGAAACATAAGAGCATTTTTTATATTCAAAAAAAAGGTGTGATTTCACCCGCCACAACAATATAAATTACCTGGCTCGGATTTTTTAAAGAAAATTAACAAAAGAAAAGCAAGAAAGAAGCATTTATAAATCATATAAAAAGCAATGGGGACCAAATATATATTAAGTTGCTAAATACTGAGGTAACAAGGTGGGTGTGAATACCCCTACTAAATATTATTTATCCATCAAAGTGCCCAGTACATTGTGATTCTCGTTATAATTTTGTTCATCGGTTGCGCGCATAACTCAAAAAGCATTTAAAAATTGCCATTAATATGTGGCTGGAGTGCTCGTGAATGCTTCACTAAACTTAACCTCCATAGATAAAAAAATTTGACAGCAATAAAAAGTGATAAGCATGGAATGCGCTTTGAAATTCTTATCACTTTTTCCAATTTAGTTAAATGATATGCCGAGTATGGTTTGTTTACTTTTATTTTGGCAGTATACGCGCTTATCGTTACCTTAATATAGAAAGGCCCTAACTCATTTTCTTTCGAAATTCAGCTTAGTACCTACAAGGTTCGGCAAATAACGCTAATAGAATTAAACAAAAAATTACTACATCAATAAATTTTTTCAGTGTTTATTAAGCGCCGGATTTTTAAGAAATTCCCAACTTAAGGACTCAAGTTTTGTAAATACTCTGTAAGGACAAACATTTTAGATAGGGCATTTCTACATTAAGGTAACCATATGTATGCGCCTGTAGTGTATGCCCATTCTTGACACACATATAATTTTTCATGGTCTTTTCTCACAAAAAAAAAAAACATTTTTTACGGGTATTATTTTTATTTTTGAAGGTTAATAATTTCCTCGATGCATTCAAGAACTTTAAATTGAAGAAGGTTACATTTATTATCGAAATCAATAGAATTAACACTAGTAGCAAACAAATTTTGAAAATTGTCATTTCAATATCCTTGCAAGAACTTGTATAAGTGTGATAATAGGATTGTATTTTAAGATAGCACGGCAGTTGTCTCTTTTCCTCGTAACTGAAGCCAATTAAAAACACCAAGTGAAGCTATGTCCCTCTCAAGCTGAGTATTTCGTTTCGGGCTTGGATCAAGATTTCAGAAAAGTCTGCCAATTGACCCAACCTAAACCACATTCTAAGATATAGTCTTTGCAATCGAATTATGTGTTCAAAAATGTTTCGTATTTAGAACCACTAATGGGGCCAGCATAAATATTTGGGCGTATTTTTGTTTTCGTACGAATCGGAAATTTGGAATTTTATATAAAAAGTGATAGGAAATTTTCAAAATTTTACGATACGAAACCAAGAATACGCCACATTATGTCGAATAGTCAGGCAGCATTAAGGGCCTTACACTCATTGAGAAAGCACACCAAGGCTTGTGGATAGTTGTAAAACTCTTTTGAACCACCTAAGAGCCCACCATACAGAGTTTGAAGGGCTGTGTTGCCTCGACTAGTGTTGCCATTGTGCGACTAAAGGGGCAATTTGACCCTTTTAAAGCGCCAATACCCTTTGACCGGACTTTTTGAAAATTCTGATTTTCTTTACCCTTTTCTAAAATTATGTGCGACTTTTGCCTCTTTTTTTCAGAGCTAATTTTAGGAAATGTTAACGTTTAAATACGAAAAAAGTATCACTTAAAACTTTTAAAGGAAATACAACTTTTCTCCCTGCAGCAACTCGATTTCTGTTTGAATATGTTAAATGTTAAAATATGTTAAGAAAACAAATTTGTTTTGGTTCAAAATCAATGCCTATTTATTTAAAACATATTAAAGTTATAGCTTCGGATTTATTCTTTTCGCCTCGCCAGCATAGGGAACAACTCTCTCTGAGTGTCATATAGTGCCAGCTCACTGAGCTGACTCATGAAAATGAGCTTGATTCGTTGAGTCAACTCGCGAAAATTCACTGAGTTACCCAGTCCTAGTTTGAAGGCAACGAAAGGGCTGTTAGTCTTGTGGAGCCCAAATGCGCGTGTAGGGTCCGGAGCCTTTCCTCGGTACATATAAAGGATACACTAAAGACCTACTCAGAAGCAGGAAAGAATCTCAGATTGCTGCCCACTGGCAGAAGTCAAAGGGACTGAGACAGTCAAAGCAGTTATGAATACTGCTTCATGACTTCTCGGGGAGGGTTTAAGATATTACAAAATAATAAAAAAATAAAAATGAATAAAATTACGCTTTTTGTAGTCACTGACTAATTGTATGCCGAAAATTACCTACCTATACTCATACACTCACTACCACTTACGTACGTTTCTCTTTTTCTCCCCCAGGAACATCTCATCCATTGCGGTCAAGTACTCGAACAGTGTCCGAACCATTGTAACGCTTTCGTGCCACGCATACGCATGCGCACACATCTGAAAGAGTGTCCGCGCGGCAAGTCACAACAACAGCTCAACAATAGTCAAGAACGGCTCGATCAATTCGTGGATAATCGGATGACGCAACTCGAAAAGGATTTGAGCGCTTTGCGCTCGGTGCTAAACGAGGAGATTGGTCAGCGATTGCATTTGATTACAGATGTGGGAAATTTGCGCAAATACAATCAGGTTTTAGAAGATTGGAAACAGGACGCCAATGAAAATATGAATGGCATCAAATCGCTGCTCAATGAAGAGATTGTGCAACGACAATTTGAAGTAGGCGAGGCATACAAGGACAACACAGCGAACTTCGAAATGATAAAGGTAAGCGGTGACAGTGATAGTTGCAGGGTTTAATAACTTTTTCAATTGAATGCCTTTTTAGAAAGTCAAAGCCGATATACAAGGTGAAATGGATGTGCTGCAAAAGAATATCCAACAATTATCTATCGAAGTGGCAGACCATGTGAATCACTTGAATGACAACACCATGAAGTTGGAAGAGATGATTTTGGAAAATGAGAAGAAGAATCTGTAATGAAATTCGCAAGTCTTAACAAACAAAGCAAAATTTCACTAATCTAACTCACTAATTACAGCGATAAATTCATCGAAATCGAAGAATTTTTAAATGTGCTCGACGGCGATTTGAAGACCAAATTTGTCGCCAACAGCGACTTGAATGCCAAACAGGTGAATATGGATGTGGAAGTGAAGAGCATGAAAAACATTGTTTGCGAAACGGAGGAGCGTTGCGAAAAATTGGAGGGCATAGTGAAACAAATTGACACCAAGCTGCATCAAACCGTGCAAACGCTAGCGGATTTGGAGTATCATTTAGCGACACAACAACGACTCACTAACATACAAAACTCAAGAGGTAATAGAAGTTAACCTGCTCTCAAAACCACAAAAATTCCAATACCAATTCACTCCCTCTCGCATAGGTCACTTGGTCTGGCGCATCAAAGACTACTCAAAGAAGCTGGAGGAAGCAAAGCAATACGAAACAATACTGCATAGCGCCATGTTCTCGAATAAGCCATATGGCTATGCATTGCGCGTAAGTTGACGCCCTCCAATGTAACACCCCCTTCGCACGCGTGTGTGTGTGTGTGTGTAGGTCTACTAATCAATCGCTTTTATCTCTCACTTCCAGCTTGATATACTCCCCAATGGAAAGGGCACTTGGAAGGGCCGCAATTTGATTGCATGTCTCAATGTCATAGCTGGCGAATATGATGCGCTGCTACCTTGGCCTTGCCGCCTGCAAGCCGACATTATCATACGTGATCAGTACGGCAGCAACGAGGAGGCACAGGACTATGTGAAAACGATATTGGTACGCAAAAAGAACGATGAGTTCATACAAAACAATCAATATTTCCACATACCACACAAAGTCGTAATGAGCCGCAATTATTTGCGTAACGATTGCTTGTTTGTGGAGGTGCGAGTGCTAAAATGATGTTAGACCACAAGTGGGTTTGGTAAGAAGTACTATGTGTGGCAAACTACACCATTTCCAGTTGTAAATGAGAAAGCGTCAAATGAAATTGCGAAAGCGTCATTTGGAAATGAGAATAATCAATTGTAAATGAGAAAGCGTCATTTGTGAATGAGAATAGTCAATTGTAAATGAGAAAAGGTCAATTGTAAATAAGAAAGCGTCATTTGTAATTGAGAGTAGTCAATTGTAAATGAGAAAGCGTCAAATAAAAATGCGAAATCGTCTTTTGGAATTGAGAATAGTCAATTGTAAATGAGAAAGCGTCAATTGTGAATGAGAAAGCGTCAATTGAAAATGAGAAAGCGTCAAATGAAAATGCGAAAGCGTCATTTGGAAATGAGAAACTCGTTTTTATTCAGAAATTATTTAGATATTATTAAAAATGCATGTTTATTATGTCCCAACTTGCATATCTTGTAAAGATAAAGCATTTCCATGGAAAGATGTTGCGTGCTGAAATGCTCTCGCGCAGTCTCTTCCGGTACAGTTTTCGCGTCATCCACCAACTTCTCCAAATATTGCAGCCGTTGCTCAACAACGTTTGGCCCATTTATGACTGGGTTTGAGATGTGCCCCGTTACATACATTTTGATTTTTCAGATTATTTCAATAGGGTTTAGCATGGGGGAATATGGCGCTAAACGCAGCACTTGTGCACGTCCATTGGAAGCATCAGCTACAGCTTTTTCAATTCTGGAGTGACATGGAGCATTGTCGCACACCAAAATTAAGTCGTCCAGGTGGTTCCCCAGCTGCTCCCAACGATGCAAAACCGACGCTATCCAAGCACCACATGTTTCATTTTTGAAGCATCCCCTCTTTCTGTCGATTTGTTCCTGCAGTAGCATTTTCGGCTTCGCACCTCCTTTTTTTTGGTGCTCACCTCGACCGGATTTTGCCCAGTTCCAAGCAGTTTTGTATGCGATGCCCAGGGTGGTCGCCAGCGATACCCAATCCTCCCCACGCGTGGCTGCAGCAACGATTCTACTGCGATCTTCCGAGGAGTTTTTCCGATATGTTTTGCGGATGCGTTCTTCAGAATCTAAGATGATGATGAAAACATCATGCTATGTAAGCATAAATTTATTAATCCATGGATATATTAAGTTCATACCTTCGATAACCCCACGACAAATAGGACACGTTCCATTATCGCTGTCTATTACCTTGTTTATACCGACACATAAAGCGCTTTAACCCACTTCGCCGTGATTCAAAACGTATGCATAAACCAAATTTAAATACGCTCAGAAATTCAAAAGTGTATTGACTCGAATTTGTTTTCAAATCGGTTTTTTAATTCTCACATCGGTTAGAAAACAGGTATAAACGCATCATTCATTTGACGCGAAGTGAAAAAAGGCTGGCTTTCTTCATACATCCCCTTTTAAATTTGAATTATTATTATTATAAATTCGAATTATTGTTCGCTTCCATTTCGGTCAACCGCGCAAGTTAGTTATTAAAGAAATGTCGTATAAAAATAGCAGATTTGGTTTGCTTTTGAATACGGCTTCATCGAGTGCGCAATAAAGACCGAGGTATAAATACTTGAAAGAAATATGTGTTGAGTCAAATCAGCTTTTTGTTAATGCGGTTCTTGCGTAGGTATAAACAAGGTATATAATAGGTTGAATGCACGGCCGATGAAAGAGGTGCCCACAAGGTAATAGGCGGACAACGGGTTTTCGGGCTTTTTAATCGTAAAGTAGTTTTCCGCCAGTGTAAAACAACTGAGACTTCCCGGCGAAAAGAAAACAGAAGAGTGTTCTGTATCGAGCTACATACATTGATCCGAGACATACCGTGGATACATCTTAGCTTCAGGTCCAAGATCTTCCCATGTTTTTCCCAGTCATTAAAGCGTCTGGTCAATCATTGTTGTAATAAAAGCCAACGGTTTTTCTTTAACCAACTCTGGTCCTTTTAATTAAATTTTTGTCTTTACACTTATTACATAGTTATTACGAGAGTCGATGGTTTAAACAGATTCAAGGTCATGATGAACTACATATATACATTTATATGTATATAAGTAATTCGTGAAGGTTTTTCGGAATTCGACCGACATCGTTTTCAGCCGAATATTGACCAGCTTTATTTTCCTGACTTCTTATCTATGTACAAACTCTAATAATATGACGTAGCTTACAAACAGCAAAGATGAAGATCATAACCTTCTGAAAACTTAAAAATTCCGTTTTCAAACGCGTTTTATAGCGACATAATTGATTAATTATTATCAGTGATAAGCGACTTTAAATCATCTATTATATATGCAGTACGCAATTAATTTACTTTTATTTCTCATTTGAAAATGACGCTTTCGCATTTTCATTTGACGCTTTCTCATTTATAATTGACTATTCTCAATTACAACTGACGCTTTCGCATTTTCATTTGACGATTTCTCATTTATAATTGACTAATCTCATTTACATTTGACTATTCTCAATTAAAACTGACGCGTTCGCATTTTCATTTGACGCTTTCTCATTTACAATTGACTAATCTCATTTACAATTGACGCTTTCTCATCTACAATTGACTATTCTCATTTCCAAATGACGCTTTCGCATTTTAATTTGACGCTTTCTCATTTACAATTGACTATTCCCATTTTCAATTGACGCTTTCTCATTTAAAAATGACTATTCTCATTTACAATTGACGCTTTCGCATTTACAACTGGAAATGGTGTAGTATTTAAAGTGTAGGTTTGCATAGCTATTTTGAAAAGCTTTTAAACTAAGAAAATCTTCATAATTGCTCAGGGTAGTTAGTACATAAGTTAGTATTGTATAGAAGTGTCTGTGCCACAATTAATAATATTTTAGGGTACCTTAAGTAAATTTGTAAAACTTAAGTTTTTGAAGAATTAGAGGAAAATTACAAAAAATGTTTGTTCTTTAAGAATTTATAACACACAAGCTGTAAGTATAATATGACGAGTCCTTTAAAGCACAGTATACAGTAATCCAGATAGGCAAAACAAAAAATGTAAATATGCTTATTTGACAATTTATTTGAATGTATTGGTTGATATTTTTTCACAGTTGTCGTTTTCTTTAACCCAAATGAAATCCAATTTCAATATTTTCTTATAGTGGAAAATATTTTCAAGTCACATAAAATAAAACAACGAGAAAAACAAAATTCCTAGCAAATCAGGCTTGCAGCGTAAGCGATTATAACCGGATGCAGTTCCTACATAAGTCATATCTGGTTTCAAATACAACTTTGAGTGAATAATGGTGGGCTGATTTTGGAAAATGGACCCATAAATTTACCCCCACAATTATTACTTAGCTTAAAGGTAGAACTCTCTAATTTTCAAATATACCACTCTTATAGGCGAGACCTCCAAAGTTTTTATGAAGTACCCAAAGTTATATATCGACGCTCGAACTAATGCAGGAAAGGTTTATGCAGATAAGCAAGGCCGTTTTTTCAACGGTATAAAATGTATATACACATATTCTTACATACATATTTATCAAAATATTCAGAATGACGAAATGAATTGGTTCAGTCGTGTCTGTTTGTAAACACGCTAACTCGAACAAAATTTAGATATATTAACGAAAGTAGGTGCCGAAGTTGCCTTTGGTATAATTTAGGTTAGTATTAAATTTGGTGAAATCTGTGTATAACCACGACCACCTCCCATGTAGTAATCAACAATATTTTTGTTTTATTGTTTTTTTTTAAATGAATTTCGCTGTTAAAATTTACATTTCAAATATATCAACAAACATTTGGGGGTACTTTTGCACCAGTCATTGCCTATGGGTTAATGACAAAATAATCCTATACATGCACAATATCTCATGTATTAATTTTCAAATAAGCATATTGTCAATGGCTGGTTTACTGTATACTGTGCTTTAAAGTTTCGAAAAATAATAAAGCGTACAGAGAAACAAAATTTATTTTAAGTTCATAGACTGGAATCACTAACCAAAGATAACTATCTCGTTCTGTAACCAAATTCTGAGATAGGGCGGTTTTCAGTCAAATTCTGAAATAGGGCGTTCTTCAACCAAATTGTGAAGTAGAATGTTCTTGAAAAATTTTTTCAGGTAGGGTATTTTCGAACCCGCTGCTGAGGTCAATCTTCCACACAGCTGTCAATATATGTACTTTGGGCGAAAACACCTGCACAACAAAAACCAAAAAATTTCAAAACTTACGAAACATTGCATTTTTGGTACAATTGTATTTTTTTGATACAATTTCGTTAACAATATAGTACTTTACTGCTACTCAAAACTTCTTAGTAGAATTTTGTGATGAATATTAAAAACATATATGTAGCTCTGAAAATTCACAGGGGGAATTTTTTGTATTTTCTTTTTGTGTTTAAAATTTCTTGAATGAACATACCACAAGGGCTTCCAGCTTCCTATTCCTAAGCAATTTTTTAATGATTATTTTCGATACTAAGTCTTAAAAAAAATTTCGAAATCAGCTTCACTAGAAGCAATATTTTCGATAACACTGGATCACAAATTTTTGTTTTTTTTTTTTGTTCACCGGAAGCTACTATCAAATTTCTGTAAATCAAGTTAATTTTTAAATAACTTTCCGAGATATCTGCAATTTACCGTTATTTAGCTGGAAAAAAGAGTGATTCCACTTAATCACGCATATCTTACGAACTAGTTAAACAATCGTAATACGAAATACGGCAAATGAAAGCTAATAAAATTCTCCATATGTATGCAGATTTCTCTTCGATAGGCCTGATAGTTTCTGATAAATTAATAGATTATTCGATATATATTTTTTTTTTAATAAAAAAATTCAAATAAATGCTTCAACAGGGGGAAAGAAAAAAATTACGTGTTTTTGTAAATTTTTTAAATTTATTCTTATAAAAACCTCTTCCTTGAAAAAATTTTAATACAATTTTTTTGTGTCTTGGAAATATGAAAAGGCATCTGTGAAGTGCAGAACGAAAGCGCATTCAAACGAAAAATACTGACTTTGAAGTGATTTAAG